CCCCCCCCCTCTCTCTCTCTCCCCCTCTCTTTGTCTTTATATCGCTTTATCGTTGCTTATTGATCGGCCATTGCATTTTTCTTGTTTTCTTTTTTTCTTTTTTTTTTTTTTTAATTCAAGAACGCGACACTCGAAAGTATCGAATATTGATATCGGATGCAGCTTGTAAATTATGCTCGGCCGGTGATATTGCCCCGATGAAATTTATGTGGTTTCGAGGGTTTCCATCGGCGCGCATCGCGAAACAAAAGTTTTTCCGCGGGCTGGAAACTTCCCCGGCGAAACCTTATTCCCTGTACTTTAATGCGAGCAGGAACTAATTGATTTATGGAGAGGAATTTTGTCAGGCTACGTTGACCGAGAGTCAGCGAGACAGTGTTCGACGTAAATGAGCCTCCTCGATGTCAAAATGATTAACCTCGTGTTTCAGAATTTCATTTTTTCACGTTGCGTCGTTAGGTTGCTTGGGTAAAGAACGATTCGTCTCTAAAAGATGACAGAAATAATGAGAAAATTCCTAAGACAAACTTTAAAAAATCAGCAGTCTTCTCTACTTTCTAATTAATGGCAAATAAACTGGTTAGTAAATTAAAAAAAAAAAAACAATGGTCTTTGCAATAACTTCTGTCTACTCTCTATCTTCCAATTGATATTACAGTAAAAATCAAATAAATTTTCGCTTTTCTTGGAGAATTTACAGAGAATTTATAGCAATTACTGACAAAGCATCGTTCGTAGTAAACGAAGATTATTGTAAATTAATGTTACAGTAAAAATCGAATAAATCTTGCTCTCACAGTAAAAATCTTTTCTCAAAGAGTTCGTAACGTCAACTGAGAAAGCATTGTTCAAAGTGAATGAAGATTACTGTACATTAATTAAATTACAGTCAATATTGACAACGATGAATACAGTTAATTATGCTCGTTCTATTCCGTAGGAATCTCGGAATAATTAGTAAGCGAAACGAGGCGTAATTCGTTCCAAGCTTTTAATACAACTGCTTGGGTATAATTTCACCTTTGAATTGCATTGACCTATGAAATTACTTGCTTCCTTACTAAACAAATACAAATGGATTTCAATTACGGTGTATTTAACTACGGCATTAACAGTGGTAAACACAATGCCAAATAGATATGCTGCAGCAAACTAAACGTTATTCTCCAAGAGCAACGTTTCAGACAGATACGTTCTGAGAACAATTTCAATTGAATTGGCAACGTATCGTTGCGTAATTGGAAGAAAAAAAGAAAGGAACGAATTACAGATGTTCGACATACTTATCTTGGCTAGAATAAATGTTTAATAATGAGGATATTTATGCAAATTCGTGACATTGTAATTAGTAATGAAAGAAGCTCGAGGACTTATCCATTGAAGATTGCAAAATGTAAATATGTAAATCGTTCAACGACGTGCAGGAATTAACCAGGTAATCTACTCTGCTCGGCTAATCCATCATACTTTTTGCTCTCATTACCACCCTTCAATCAACTATGAGAAGCTCTTTTAAAGTGGCATTACTAAAAAATGCTTGGAGTCCCTACGATTATAGGGACGTTAAACCAAAGAGGAAACTGCGAAAGTAAATAAAATTTCAATGACATTAATCGGTTTGGAACTTGCAATTGTCTATTCCAAGTTTGCGATATAGTCGACCTAATTTTCAGTTCGCCATCTGCATGAGAAGAACAGGGAGGAATTCAGGTCAACGTGCTTCGCGGCTTTAACGTAGGAGCGCGAGTTTCCGCAATTTTTAATACAAGTTCTATCAAAATACGATATGTAAATCGCGTAATGTAATGCTACATAGTATACGTAATAGTAGATCCGAGCTATGTTAGAAAAACGTTACGAATGCATCGTGTGTTGCGAATTTTATCAGCACTGACAATGAAGTGACATCCGACGATCACTAAATTGTGACAATTGAATTGTCAAATTTTTGAGATAGGAAATATATATATATAGAAATTGGCAGTGTATAATCACTCATTCATTGTTAATGAGTTTCCATATTCACTCTCTGCATTAATCTTTCACAAAATTTCAAAGTAAGTTTCCCGCCAGTAGCCAGTAGATCGAAGATTTTTCTAAAGATTACGAAATAATAGAATCTGAGAGAGAAATTCCTTTCGCTATTAAATAATTGCAATTTCACCCGCATTCTGTGTATTCCTCTGCTCATAATTAAATTCACAAAGAATCCCTCAGTGTTGCAATAATTGGTCGCGAGTAAACACAGGCGAGAAGAATATGTTAGAGGTCACAGGAGGAATTCTTAAGTTCTCGACTAACTAGAATCGCTCTGGAAACCGCGAGGGGGAAACCAAGCCTATGAATACATTCCCCGAAGCGTCGATCCGATGTTCCGGCGACGGACCCGAAATAATAATATCGCCGGATCCACCGGTGGGTGAATTAGGTCGGTCATGCGAGAGAGGCCGGGGGAACCACTGGGTTCCCGTGTAGCTGCTTCAATGCGCAAATGATTGGTGAGATCGTGGCAGCAAGTAGGCGCCTGGCGTCTTTGCCTCCGGTTGGCCGGTTCGTTGCTCCCACAATGGCCCGGTGCAAGACTGAACAGTGAACTCTAACCCCAACGAAGATGCTATAGAGCCACCTGCTACGTGCACCATCCATATCCACGGTCCTTCTCCTTCTCACGCTTGCACCTTCCAACTCGGCTTCAGCCGCGCCCAGCCGAATTCGAATCTCTTTTTTCCCGTTCCATTTTCCAAATTCGACAATAATTATCCTAACTATCTTTTTTAGTTTGTCGCGTGTTGTTTTGTTCGATTCATTCGATTGTTATCAATAAAGATTTTTGGGAACATATGTTTTCTGCATGCAGGCTCAGTAAGATGCGATTGATGCGAATAAGAATGGATGTATTTCTGGATTACAGAATACTTCGATAGCTAATGCTTGTCGCTTTAAAAAAAAGTTGTTAATTTGAAAAAAATTAATTTCTTGGAAGAATATACTGAATGAATACTATACTTTATGTGAAATATCTTAAGTGAAATTTATCTTTAAAAAAAAAAAAGTATAACTGCGATTAATTTTAAAATATATCAATATACGATGCTATAAAATACATTATAAACGGAAATAGATGATTTAATGTATAGAAATAGGAGAAATTTTAATAGAAAATGGATAAAGACCAAAATTTGGGACAAGTGTATTACATGGTTTCCATTTTAATCAATGAGAATGATCAATGATAATGAATGATGAATGAACCGACTTACTATTTACAAGTATGATAACCCACGTATTAATACGGAAACTCTGCTATTATTAGATCTCGTCCATAATACATGCAGATTATGAATATTTAACTATGGAGTTATTAAGTAACGTTAATACGCTGACACTTATGCAACTAATTAGCAGCGTTATGGATTAATTACTCAATACTGAATAAACAACGGCTTTATTATTCGTTTTATAGTACTATAGCGAAACGTTTAATAATACAAGTATTATTTAAAACGTGCATTTCCTATAATGATAACTGTTTTATTTTTTAGACAATCTTCTCTTAATTTAGTATTGTCCAAATCAAAAGACAGTAGATTTTCTTATCCCATAAAAGTCAATCTTTTGATTAATCATGAACCGCAACCAGCGATTATAAAGAAATCTGAATCGACTTGGTATCGACCGGAGAAAAAATATTTTAATTAATAAAAAATTACGAGAATTTTTCACGGATAGAGCTACTTCTACTTTAAATTAATTTTACGAAAAACTAGATAAAATATAAATCGCATGTGAAAAGGAAGATATTTTTAATTACTTTAACTTTACAGCTACATGAAAATCATTAATTTAGTTATCAACAAGAAAGTGTTCACGCGCCTTGATTTTTAATCTAAATTAAGATTCTAATCATCTTGTCCCCATTTTTTCGAATTAATTCTTAGCTGACATTGAACTACACTAATTTACGGTTAAATCGCTCAATTTTGAAGTTTTAGATTT